CTTGCTCCTGGAAGGAGCCCTGACGGCTCGGACCCCTCCCCAGGCTGCTGCGGCCCCCAGCATTCAGGCTTCCGAAACCTGAGATGCTCCCCTCTCCGTAGCTCGCTCCGTGACCCTGTCCTCGCATGCTCTGTGGCCGACCCCAGCTCCCACGTACACCCCCCCGTCTCACTCTGCTCGTTGCCCCTCGCTACACAGATGGACGTCGTGGATACTGAGCCAGAGGTGCCCGTAGAAGGCTGGATTGCAGTGGCATATGTGGGCAAGGAGCAGGAGGTCCAGTTCCACCAGGAGAATCAGGGCAGTGGTGCCCAGGCCTATCCCAAGGCCCTGGTCCAGCAGGTGCCCGGGGTGTATATGGGGGAGAGGGGCTGGGGGGAAAGACTCCCAAGGCATCTGCTAGAGACAGGCTACCAGGTGGCCCCTAAGGAGACTGGGCCTGTGTGGGTCGGGGGCTCCAGTTTGGAGAACCGGGCACGTGGGCAGGGACTGTGATTGCCCCGTAATCTGCACCGTACTGTGAGAGAGGAGTCGTTGGAGGGTTGGGCAGAAGGACCGCCTTGCAGGAACCAGGGAAAGGGAGGGCAGAGTTATTTGGGTTTCACAGATCAGGAAGCGTGGGGTTTTGTCCTTGGCCTCAAGAAGCTTTTAGCTGGTCCAGAGGAAATGCTTGCTGCAGAAAGGAGAGCTAAGAACAGTGGGACTGCAGAAGGGTATATGCCAGCCTTCTGCCTCTGTCCTGCAGATGCGACGGGCCCTCTTCCTGGGAGCCTCTGCTCTGCTTCTCCTCATCCTGAACCACAATGTGGTTCCAGAGGTAAATCAGTGCAAGCTGTGAGGGTGAATGGGCTGGGGAAGGGAGAACCAGAGCCTGCTGACCTCCTCGTTCCCTCCAGCTGGACATATCCCAGCTTCTGCTGAGGCCTGTGATTGTCCTTCATTATTCTTCCAATGTCACCAAACTGTTGGAGGCACTGCTGCGGTGAGTGGGGGTTCGGGCTCCAGGAACACTGGGTTTGGGATCCTGGGTGCTGAGGCTCCCTGGCTCTCCTGGGGGTTCCAGGGTCTCAGGAGCAGGGCGTCTGCTGTTAGTCTTAAAGCTGTGCTCTTGGGGACTGGAAATGGGGAAGAAGATGGGAGGAGGCAGCAGGGCCTGGAGCAAGGCGTGAGGAGGTAGGTAGGTGGCTCTATGGACGGGCAGGACGGGCCCCACAGGGAGGAAGCTGTATGTCCGACTGACAAGCTCTCGTTTGCCCTGGCTGTGCGAGAACTGGAGAAACCAACAGCAAGGGAAGGATTGGGAGCCAAAGCAGCAGGGCCAAGGAAGTGACATCGCAGGGCTAGGGGGCGTGAGTCTGGTCCTCCTTATGTCTGTCCCCTTCGTGACCTTCCCTCCAGGAGGACCCAGGCCACAGCTGAGGTCACCAGCGGAGAATCGCTGTCGGCAAACATTGAGTGGAAGCTGACTCTGTGGACCACCTGTGGCCTCTCCAAGGATGGCTATGGAGGCTGGCAGGACCTCGTGTGCCTGGGAGGCAGTCGTGCCCAGGAGCAGGTGGGTGCGAGTGGATCCTGCGGGGTCTCCTCGCGTTGGTGGTGAGGGCAGCCATTCCACCTCACTGATGTGTTTAGTGCCGCAGGGGCCTCCGTAAAGCATCTGGCCCGAGGTCGTGTGCAGTCAGTGCTAGTTGCTGCTGTGACTATGTTGTCTTCCCACTCATCAGCCTTCTTTGGCCCCCTGTTGCCTTTAGAATAAAGTTCAGACTCCTTAGTCCAGCTTTTACATCTCTCCTCATCACTCATCTTATTTTTTTAGCCTTTTTCCTATGCTCTGCCCACCCTGTGCCATTCACTAGCTTTCACATGTGCTCTGGCCCCCAGCTTCTAGGCCTTGTCCACCCTTGGCCCTAGGCATCAATCCCGTTTCTCAGTCTCCATAGGGCCTGGTCTAGCAGCACCTTCACAGTTCATGCTGCCCACCTGCTTTGGAATGTTCCCTCAGGCCCTCTGTTCAAAAGACCTGTCCCTCTGTTTAGTCACGGTAGTGCTTTGCTGGGCCTTTCCCAGGACTCTTAGGACAGCCCAGCCTGTATGTGTTAGGGAGCATGATTTAGTCTCCTAGCCGTGGCTGTGTTTTATTTCTGGATTTCCCAATGCTTGGCATCAAGTGGTTCAAAGTGGCCACCAGCATTTCTTAAACCCCTTCCCTGTGCTAGGCAGGCATGCTTGGTGAGCAGCCTTCGGCAGGTGTCAGTCAACAAGGGCCATGTTAAACAGCTTCAAATCAGTCAGACTTGGGTTCAGATCCTGGCTTTAAAACCTTGGGTGAGTGAGCACAGATCAAGTGTTCAATCTTTCCAGGCTCACGTTCCTCATTTGTGGGTAGGAACCTCTCACAGGCATCCCATACAGATCCTCGGCAGGGCAGAGATTTGATGTGTGGCAGGGGTGGGGGGTGGAGCAGGCCGAGGAATGGGCCCCAGGAGTCCTAGAGTTGAGGATGCCTACAGTCTGCAGTTAGGTCTTGCTGGTGAGAAGGCCAAGCTGAACAGCCCTGGTCGTACTGCTGGCCAGTGTAGGCATGGTTCATGCAAATATTAGGCGGCCATGGCAGCTGAGGTGTCCAAAGGGTTGTTGGACGGGCATCTCAGCTGGCTGGCTTGATGGCCACTGGACCCACAGCCCTGACTCCAGGGCCTAGGTGCCACACTGAGCCAGCTTTTTGGTGGTCTTTGGGAATTCAGAGCTGTAGCACCCCTGGTACCCATGTATCGAGCAGCTCAGACCAACTACATGCTTGATAACAAGCCCTGCCTCCACCCTCCTGCCTTTTCTGCCCTTCCCCTCCCCCCAGGTGCACTGAGCCTGGCTGTTCAAAGCAAGGAGCTCTGGAGCAGGCTGTGCCCTGGACAGCTTATGCTGTCATGGCCGCTCAGCAAGTCCTGCCGCATGTCACCCTGCTTCAGAATGGCATGGGCCAGAGAGCAGGGGTCATAGAACCCAGTCTGGGGGAGTGGAGAAGCCAGAAATACTGTTATTCTTCAGGGGTGAGGGCTGAGCTGGTAGTGGGCACAGGGCCCTCCAAGTTATAGCAAAGGCACCTGAACTGAGCCTCGGGCCTGGGGGGACCTTTCCAGGTCAGTGCCACCACCCCAAGGAGCTAGGAGGGAGGGTGGGAGCAGGCTTATAGATACCTCTTAATAGGAGTCCCCAAAGCACCTCTACTTAAGCAAGACCAATGTCTTGTAGCACCAGCAGCCGCCAACCTGGTTTAGATAGTTGTGGCCTTTTACCATCAAATTGTTTCTCACCTCTCCTCTGTCATGATGGGAGCTGAGCTGTAGCATTGGTCTGGGCAGAGAGCTACCAGGACTGCTGAAAGCTTTTCAGTAAGTGTGTTTATTATTCATAACACATGTACTAGCCGTGTCAAATAAGCTTGCCGCGTGGGAGAGCATGTCTGTTTTACTGTGCCATGACACTTCCTGACTGCTTCTTCAGTGGTTAAAACCTACAGCCATGCTGCATGGGCTGGGAGCTAAGTCCAGGTCGGTGTGGTTCCCCTAGCAATCTGAAACCCTCCTGGGGCCTGGGCCCATAGGTTTTACAGTGATCTCTCAGTTGTTTCTTAGCTAATCTAGTCTGCAGTTGAACCCCCAGACAGAAGTGAGTGAGGATAGTGTGGCCTGAGCACGCAGACCAGCCGGAGGTGCAGGTTGAGGATGGGACAGGAGAGTGTAAGAGGCGGATGTGGCTGTCCTTGCAGCTGGGACAGACCCTGAAGAGCTTCGGATGGGGGGACGGGGGCTTGGGGGAAGGAATCCAGGACTCTGCAGGGACCCAGAGGCCCCTCTGCATGTCACCTGCCAGTTCGTGGGGCTACTTGCTCCTGGGGGAGATACAAAGAGTAACTCCAGTATCCCTGACATCTGCTTTCCTCCCCTAGAAACCCCTGCAGCAGCTGTGGAATGCCATCCTGATGGTGGCCATGCTCCTGGGCACAGGCCTTGTGGTCCGGGCCCAGCGGCAGGCATCACGGCGGAGCCAGCAGGAGCCTGGAGGCCAGGTGGGAGCCAGGCCACAGAAACTCGGGTGCCCCTAATCCTCGGGCCTATGAGACTGTGGCTGTCCTCTTTCCACAGGTGGACCTTTTCAAGCACCGTGTGGTGCAGAGACTGGCATCCCTCAAGACCCGGCGCTGCCGTCTGAGCAGAGCAGCACAGGGCCTCGTGGAGCCTGGCACGGAGACCTGTGCTGTGTGTCTGGATTACTTTTATAACAAGCAGGTGAGTGGCCTGGGTTGAGACCAGCTATCAGCTGACCTGTGACTTCCCCCACTCTACTCCTGGGAGAGCTGCGGACCACCCACCCAGGCCTATAGAAAGCAGAATGGGGTTGGCGCAGCAGGTAGAGGTTGCGGGAACAGGCTCCAGGAGAGTTCAGTTCCCCAGCTCAAGGGACAGGTATGGGCCCAGGGCCTCCCCTGGAGCCCTGGCCCTTGACTTGAGCCCCTCTCCCTCCCGTGTAGTGGCTCCGGGTACTTCCCTGTAAGCACGAGTTCCACCGAGACTGCGTGGACCCCTGGCTGATGCTCCAGCAGACCTGCCCACTGTGCAAATTCAACGTCCTGGGTAAGCACTGGGGCGGTGCCCTTGGCTGTCCCAGTGGCCCCACCTGATGCCTCTCTCCATGTTCTTCCTCCTCCTCCTCCCCTGCAGGGAACTGCTACTCAGATGACTAGCTGCCCTGCTGGGCATGCTGTGTGCAGGAACAGACCCCTCTGCTGCATCCTGGCCTGAGCCTGGGCTCCTGAGCAGGATGGTGGAATGGACAGGGCCAGCCCTGTGGGCGGAGGAAGGATGTAGACACCAGCATACCATGCTGGGAAGCAGGGATCTGCAGCCCTGGCCAGAGATTCAGGGCCAGGACCCATCAGGCCAGGGTGAGGAGTTACTTTGTGGTCTTTCTCTGCGATCCTGGTACATCTGTGTCTGCCCTGTTCACATGCAGCTTCCAGGGCACTGGGGAGAGAACATGGGACTAGCATAGCCGAGGGATCCCAGAGGGCTGAAACTACAGTGGCTGTTTTATGCTTTTTTGTTGGGCGGGTGGGGAAGGGTGGATTGAGGAACAAGCTGTCTGGCCTTGGGGCTTGACTTTCAAGATAGACTTGGTCAAGGCTGTCATGTTAAACCCAGAGACCCTCCACACCTCGGCAGTGCTGTCCTCGGTCACTGGGCACTCGGAGCCGCGGGCCCTACTGCTGTCCAGCTGGGCTCCTGGCCCAGGCTTGGCTGGGACCAGAGGCCTTAGAAACCACCCGGTCTTGGACTTACTGGCTGGGCTGTATGTTATTCACCGAGATACAGTACTGTACTTGAAGCCACAGGATAAATGTGGTGCATCTTCCAAGGGCATCCATTTTTTTAAAGAGTGGGGGCAGGGAAGTTTTAATAGTGAAATAAACATGGATATATTTTAACATAAGATGTAAAGTTTATGTGAATTTTTTTTGGTACCGGGAATTGACCTCGGGACCTTGTGCTTGCAAGGCAGCCGGCAGTATGTGGATGTTTTAAGGTTTTTTTTTTTTTTTTAAGTTACCTTGGGTTCTACTGCCAGTGGTAGGTGGGGTTCTTAGATGGCCCCCAAGGTCCCCCACCCTACCGTGAACACCCTGTATAATCTATGGAGTGCTGACTATGGGGTGTTACCCTCACGATTAGGTTATGTTATATGCACAGCTGACCTTAAGATGGGGAAAGCATCCTAGTGGGCCTGACCTACACATAAGCCCATTAAAAGCAGTTTCCTGTGGCTGGTAGAAGTCATCAAGAGACTTGAGGTGTGAAGGGGATTCAATGCAGCAACATTCTTTGCTGCTTACTTGAAGATAAGGGGCCATGAGGTAAGGAAGGTGGAAATGGGGACCTCAGTCCTACAACCGTAAGGATTGAATTCTGCCAGCAACCAGCCGACAGAAAGAAACGTGCCCTGGTTATTACCTTGATTTCAGCCTCCTAAGACCCTAAGCAGAGAACCCAGCCCTACAGGGCCGGGACTTCTGACCTGCAGAACCATGAGCTGATACATGGATGCCACATTGGGAGAAGCCTGAGAGACCTGTTCAGCTGTGAGGGCTTCCCCCTGGACCAGGGCCAGACTGTCTGCTCAGGGAGACACCCCTGATGGCTGGCTGTCCCCTTAGGGGTGGCCCAGGACATTCTAGCCTCTTCAAGAACCCCGGGACTTCTCAGAAGCGAGTTAGGCAGGCCTAATAGTGCTGGCCCTGCAACATGTGGCCCCCTCTTGATTCCTCTCTGTAAACTTCAGTGCTCTACCTGATGGTCTCACCATCCTCCCCAGGAAAAATGCCATAGAAGGCTCAGAGCACAGCCTGAGAAGTCTTTAGCAAGGGGACTCGGGTGTAGCTCAGTGGTAGAGAGTGCTTAGCATGGCTGAGGCCACGGGTTCCATCCCTGGTACTGGGGCGCGTGCGGGAAGTCCTCAGCAAGGTCTCTTGGCCTATCCAGCACAGACAAGGAGGCTTCTTGAGGACAGTGACCACTGTGTGCTTGTGATGTTTAGTGACATCAGTGCCCAGCCACGTGGCATCCTAGGTTGAACAGGCCCCAAGATCTAGGTCTAGTAAAATCAGCACTGGCCAAAGTGTCCAGAGGCCGGCACTGCCTTTGGTGGCCTCTGGGGCCGACCTTCAGGATATACACAACTCTTCTGTCACTCTCATGAGTTCCTAAAGGCAAGGAGTTCCTCAGTGAAAAGATGCCCAGTGTTCTTGAGTCCTTAATGTTGTCAGGCCCAATTTTAAAGCCAGGGTGGGATGCTGAAGGCATCACTGTCCTCTGCCTGTTTCAGTGAGTCCAGAAACAAGACCATGGCCTTGGAGTCCTTGCTTGTTTCAGTGTGCTCACTGGCTCTCCCCTGTATACCATCACCCTGACACAGGTGCCAGCCGCTGGGTCCAGGTTTGCTCCTGGACCCTTGCTGTGGCAGTGGAAGGACTGCTTTTCACCTGGCCCAGGTGCTAGACGCTTCTTTCTGCCCTCGATGTGCTCTCCTCTCCCACAGCCTATCCGGAGAGGCAGCAAGCTCTCCCTTACAGAGGGCCCACAGTGCCAGGTCTCTGTTAGTCAGGTCTCTCCTTCCCTGCAAAGGGAAGGACTGTCCCTCCAGTTCAGCCATGCTGTGAGGCCAAGAATGCTGTGGGCAGATGGCTGGGGCTTTATTCCACCGGGGAGTTGCCAGACACTGGCCCTGCAGCCCCATCCCTGCTGTAAGTTATGTGGGCCGCTCCTGGGGCTGTTGTGCAGACCTTGCCCGGCCCTGGTTGGGTGAGAGTCTCCTCCTCAGCTTGACCAAGGCCCGGATGGGGTTCTGAGCGCAGATGGCAGAGTGGGTCACATCCTCGAGGGAAGACTTGCTGGGCCAGCTGCTGGGTTGCCGAGGTGGGGATCTTTGGGGATGGCTCGGTGGGGTCCTGTCTGCGCTGCCCATCCTGCTGCCAGGAAGGTACCGCCTGCTCAGGGGCCTGAGGGAGGACCAGTTCACAGGATCCACTATAAGTGAGGGAGACCATGCCACCTCTGTCTGCCCTGCCATGGGCAAAGCCTTGCTCACCTTGGGGATGCCCTCTGGGCCAGGGGTTCTGCTCTCTGGATGCCTTTGCCAGGAGGGGACCACAATTGGTCCTGTGGAATCAGCTGCAAGGAAAGCCAAGCTCAGGAGGGCCTAGGAGTCCCCTCACCACTGTATAGAGTGGGTCCCATAGCAGGGACAGGGAGGGAGAGCCCAAACTCACTTTTCCACTCAAGGGACAGGGAAAGCTATCCAGGGCTTCTCGAGCTGTGAACCTTTGGGCAGGCAACACATGTGAGAAGGCCCCAAGTTACACTTGAAGTAAAGATGTGAAGGGCTCTAGGGATATTTGGAGCCAGAAGGCAGTGAATCTGTAACGTCCTCACACCTTCTTGATGTATGGTAGAAGTTTCACAGAAAGCACAGCCTAAAGCCACGTGCTGTGAGGCTGGCGCTCGGCTCTTGACCAGTTCCCAGAGAAGACTACTTCTGCTGGGCAGGGGCCTCCTCCCATCCCCGAGGCCCACCCTCAGGCCCACCTTGAGGCCCCCTTGCTGGGCCACCTCATGGATCTTGGACAGCATTGACTGCAGCCGCCCATTCTCCTCCTGCAGGACCTGGATGCGGATGTCATTGGCCTGTATCTGCCTCTCCATGTCCTCTGTGACATCGCCAGAGCCTGTGGGGACGTGATACAGTGTTTGATGCCCCACTTCACCAGGTCAGCCTCAGAGGCCAGGCACAGGGGGCTGGACAGGGCACTGGGCCTCCCATCACATCTCCCCTTCCCTGAGTCTTGTTCTCTTTTCCTGTTCCCCCATCTGTGGTGAAGGTGACATAGTGTTGTCATCATAGAATTAGAGAGCTGTGTGGGTCCTAGAACTCACATGATTTGGCAAATCAGCAAGAGTGAATCTCGGGGGGGGGAGGTTTGTTTGTTTGTTTGTTTGTTTTTTGGTACCGGGGATCGAACTCAGGTCCTTGCACTTGCGAGGCAGGCGGTAGAGAGATACAGTGAGTTGTCCAGTGGACCACCCAGGCAACTCTAGAAATGAGTCACAGGGGGCTGGGGATTTAGCTCAGTGGTTCTGCTGCCTGCCTCGCAAGTGCAAAGACCTGAGTTCGATCCCCGGTGTCAAAAAAAAAACAAAAAAAAACCCCCAGAAATGAGTCACAGGAATTCACCAAGGATGTTCTTTCCTATTCTGTGGTGATGGATACTTACTTCCAGCTCTCTAAACCTTGGCAAGTTGCTGCCTGTTCTGGTTCTGTTCTCTGCTTTGTGAAAAAAGGACTGCTGCTCTCCTGGTAGGGCAGTTGAGGTGACAGAAAGGCCTGGCACTTGGTGCTCAGGAATGGTGACTTGTGACCACTAAACTACAGAGGATTTTCCTGGCAGCTCTGAGAAGGGATTCATCACAGAGACTTAGAGGGCTGGGGGAAGAACCCAAAATGTTAGACATCTGGACCAGTGCAGGTAACTAGCATTCCAGACCACTGGGATCAGGACACCACACTACCTTGAGGTGGGGGAGACGCCAAGAAGAGGGACACAGGGAAGTCAAGCAAGAACTGGCACGTGATACGCGAGGGACATGCCTAGAGGCAGCCAGAACTGTGACTAGGTTCAGCTGTGACAGCCAAGGGCACTCACCTCACCTCCGGACTTCCAGTTCCCCTGCGGCAAAGGCATGAACACGGGCACCTGTGTGCCGACTGCTCCCTGCCCCACTGTTGCGGTCGGAGTTGCCCTTCCCAGCTGCCTGTCCAGCCCCCTGACGCCCTTGGTATCGAGCTCAGGCCCTTACTTTGGATCTGGGCCTCCATGGGCCTGTGTAGGTCAGGGAAGGCCACCAGCAGCCGCTCCTGCTCCCTCAGCTCCGCCATCTCCCGTTGCAGGTCCGATACAGTCAGCCGCAGGTCTGCTGTCACCTGTTCCAGGCCCTGCTTCTCCCACTGCAGACCCTGCAGCAGCTCCTGGGGCATGGAGAGGCTCAGACCTGGCCCCAGGACAGCTCCCGGCTCCCTGCTTCCCTGAGGACACCCCCGCTCAAAGGAAGGGGCCATCCCCACCCTCATCTGCCCACTTGCACCTGCTGGGCCCGCAGCTGGCACTGTCCCTGCTCCTTCTCACTCTGCAGGCTCTGCAGCTGCTCCTCCATCTGGGCCCGCTGGGCCTCGGCCTCATCCAGACCACTGCGCAGCTCTCCACGTTCCTGGTCCAGGCTGTCTAGCTGCTGTAGCAGGGCCCGCTGTTTGGCCTGCAGGGACTGCGTGGGAACAGACAAGTGGTGAAGCCCACAGGGCTGGGCCAGCAGCTGTGTGGGACCAAAGAGGCTACAGCACCCCTGTCCCTCTGAACTCCCTTGACACCTCATGTCTGTGCACAGGGGAGGCCGTGAGCACACATAAAGGTGCAGAAGGGAGACAGTGGCAGATACACGCCAACCTGGTCTAGCCTTGGGCCCTCGGTTTGCAGACCGCACACCCTCCGAAGACAGGTGGCTGACCAGGGCGTCTCCACACACACACACACACACACACACACACACACACACACACACACCCTACCAGAAGGGGAGTTCTGGGAAGTAAGCTTTCCTTCTCCTTACATCTTCGGTGTCACATTAACCTTTGTCACTGAAACCCCCAATTCCAACATCCGCTGAGTACAAAGAAGGGAAAAACAATGGTATCTGCTGTGAAAACCGGCTCCATCTCGCTAGCTGTATGGCCGGGGCTGCCTCCTTCATAGCTCCTTTCCCTTTCCACGAAAAGGGACTGAGAAGCATCTACCCATCGTTATGGCAGGGGAGGAGGACAGGGCTATGCACAGCCTAAAGCCCAGGCCTGTCTTGGGCCTCACCTCCTGGTGGCGGACCATGCTGTCCACACGGGCCTTCTCCTTGTCCAGTTCTGTGCTGGCCCAGCGAATCTGCTGGCCAGCTCCATCCAGCCGCCCGGCCAGCAGCTGCACTTGCTCCTCCAGCTGCTGCACCTGCCTCTCGGCCGCCAATTTGCGCTCAACTTCCTCCTGCAGCCGCTGGGCCTTTGCCTCTGCAGGATCGAGTGAGCCGGCATGGAGGCCAGGGCAGGGGGAGGAGTCTCTGCCCTACCCCAGACCTAGGAAGGGACCCACCTATCCCTCTTAGCGCATCTCTGGGCTTCAGTGTTCTCAGTCACAGCATGGGGCTCTGGACCCCTTAGGTGGGTCTGGAGAACAAGGTTTTGTGCTGGAGGTAGCACGTGAGTTCAGGTGGTTGCCCAACAGTGCCGATAGTCAGGCCCACCCTACTACAGCTACCCTCAGAGATGGAGGACCCTCATCCAGCCATCGGACCAAGACATGGCACAGCGACACCGAACAGGGCTCCTTACCTATGGCCAGCATGGAGTCCTGCTGTTTCTTCAGCTGTCCCTCGAGGCTGGCCACCTGTGTCTTTAGGTCACGTATTTCTGTACCAGCCAAAAGAAAGGCCCTTCGGAGAAGCCCTGGAGCCCGGTTAGTATCCCTCATGTCCAAAGTACCATGCAGAAGGGAGGCAGCTCTGCCACGTGAAGAGGCCACCGGAGGTCACAAAGTAACTGGCGAGTGCCAGGGAGCTTGGGACCGCACCCTGCCTCTCACTGGCTGGCCGTATGGGTTGATCCCTCCTTAGTCCGTGATGTACTCCATAGAGGCAGTGGCAAGGCCTGGGAAGGGCAGTGACTTGCTCCAATTCTCCCAACATTAGTGAGCACTGGCCCCTTCCTGCCAGGAGCTACATCACTTTTCCTTAATAGCTTTTGCCCAAGCCAAAGAGACTGCTCTGCTAGGGTGCAGGTGCCATGGGAATGACTCCCCAGAAGTAACCTCAGTGATGGCCAAGAGCAAGTAGATTAGTAACCAGCTCCCTCCCCTCCTAAGGGGACAGGGAAGGCACACACACTACGCCACCTGCTGGTGTTCCCCAGCGGGTCTGAGCTCAGAGTGGTCTTAGCAGCCACGCCGTGTGGGTCTGGAGTGGAAGGCTCCTCGTGGGCAGTGTCGCCAGCTGGATGGACTCACCCTTTCCTACCATTCCTTCCCTGCCTCTCGCCCACTCCCAAGCTGTGTTTCTTCCATACAGACTACTGGTACTGCTCTCAGGTCTCGGGATATAGCAGAGCCCTTGAGCAGTAAGCGTCCAGCCTCGCTCGGGTACAGACCTGCGAGCAGTTGCTGCCTGTCACACGCCCACTGGGTCAGGCGCTGCTCAGACTCTTCCTCCTGCCGCTGCCGCTCGCCCTGTTCCTGCTTCAAGTCCTGCTCCAGCTTGGCCACCTGCTTCCTCAGGCCATCCTTCTGCCCCTCGCTGTCCTCCAGCTGGGCCCTGAGAGGCCCGACGAGCTGAGCGAGGGCCCCCATGTGCTCACTGAGGCACGTCAGGTCTTTGCTCTGTTCTTCTGCCCAGTGGCCCATGGTGGCAGCCGGTAGAGGCCTGATCCCCATGCTGTCCTGCACCAGCTGCTGGAACTGGCCCAAAGAGGAAGGCAAGTTCTGGCTCTGACAAAGGCTGATGACCACCTTGCCCACTTCCCACAGGCTGCCTTGGACACGGGTGCATGCATCACAGGGCACCAGGGCTGTTTCGATGGTCTGGGAGTGGATGCTCTTGGTGTTCTCGGAGGTCCTAGCTGGGCACCTCGGGGAGACGGGGCTGTTCTGCGGCCCTTGGCAGGTCTGGTGTGATGAGCCTGACGATGTTGGAGAAGGAGGCTTCATAAACTTGGCAGTGACACATTCAGGGCTTCTGGCTGACTTGCCCTTGGCTGTGGGCTTGGAGTGGGGGGTCTCCCCTTGGCTTGCCCTTTTCTGGGGTCAAGAAAAGAAAGGAAAGCGGGGGAGAGGTGGGTCTGTGAGGTGCCTGGTTCCCTGGGGACGTTCTGTGACAGCCTTTCACACTCACATTCTTAGACGCTATCTGACACCAACACAAACAGGAAAGAACCTTTTCCCTCTTTTTCTGTGACTCCACATACAAATTCCACCCCTGGCTTGATATATGTGTAGTCCTGGGACAGGGACAGTGACAACTACTGGTTACTGGGCCCTTGCTTGCTCTCAAGCCACCACAACCACCCTCAGTTTCAGTTTCCTCCCCCTCGTGGTGACAGCTGCCCTTCTCAACCAGGCGGGACTGTAACAAATGGGGCTCATATCCCCCTCACTGTACAGAGGACAAGCGCTGGGATTTTCCAAGTGCGCACAGAGTAAATGGCAGAGCTAGGAAGCTCAGACGTGACCCCTCTGGTCTGTGGTTTTTTTCCTTGTGGTACCAGGGGTCGAACTCAAGACCTTGCACTTGCCAGGCAGGCACAGGGCCACTGAACTACATCCCCGGCCGGGGTATGTGTTCTTTTTGGGGTTTTTTTTGAACTGGGGATCGAACTCCTTGCACTTGTGAGGCAGGCAGTCGCACCAGGTCTGTGGTCTTAACAGCCATGCCATGGAGGCCTGACCAGGAGACTCAGGACATACCTTGCTCCTCGTGGGCCGTAAGGAGCCAGGGAAGGAGGCAGTGTGCAGTGATGCACTGGGAAGCCAGGGCAGCGTGTGAGGGCGATCACAGCCGGGGGCTGGGTCCAACCCACCTGGGGGGCTGTCTGCTGACAGAGCATGCCTAGCCTCAGCAGGCTGTTCCAGAAGCGCCGCGCCGTGAGCCCCACAGACATGCAGGGCCCTGCAGTCTGGGAAGGGGGCGTCATTTGCTCTGAGCCAAGGTTCTGCAGGTAGCTGGCACAGCTCTGAAGCAGCAGTAGGAGTCTGCAGGCAGAAATGGCAGGGTGGGCTGAGGCCGAGGTCAATGTGTCCTCACACCATGTAGCTGGCAGTTTCTGGCGCAGGCATCAGAGACTTAGTCTCTGCCTATGCTCTGCCAGCCACCTTTATCACAGTCCAGGAGCTACCTCCTCAGCCCCAAGTCTGGCTCAGGAACCTCTAGGCGGCCTGGGTGGCAGCACTTCTGTAAGACTATTCCTCAGGGAGCGCAGGGAGGCTATCCTGACTTCACGTAAGCTGTATCACGAGTGCTTGGAAAGTTACAGGTGTGCGTAGCAGCCTTACACTGAGGGCCCAGAGCCTTCCTTTTACAGATGACAGGGCTGAGACCCTGCGAGGGAAAGACACACTCCAGCCCCCACCCCAGAGGGGCCAGCGGGGGAGGGGACATGTACAGTTTCCTGAGTCTAGTCAGGGGCAATGGAAACTTGGGGTGAGGACAGCTAGGTCTATATGCTAACTTCTGAGTTCAAAATTAGAGGTAGGCTAGTGGCTGGGGATGTAGTTCAGTCCTAGGACATATGCTTAGCATGCAAAAAGCTGTGGGTTCAATCCCCAGCACCAGAAAAAAAATTAGAGGCTGGCACTAATTTTAAAGAAAAGGGGGTGTTGGCAAGATAAGTTTATATTTGCGAGGACACTGATTTATTTTAAAGGAGTCAGTACTGTGTTCATAACACAGGGAAAATAAGTGACTTTATCTTGTAGCAGTTGCTGGGGGAAGGGATCATCCCAAACCCCCAGGGCCTTGGCGAAGAGGTGCTGACTGCCTCCTGGTTCTGCCTCATGCCAAGCAGCGCAGGGAGGGAGGAAGCGCCTGGAAAGAGGGCAGAGCAATCTGTCTTCTCAGACAGACAGACCCACAAGGTGGGAGATGCTGTGATACCTACATCCTTAGCCCTGTCCCCATCTCGGTGTGATGCAAGCGTCTCTAAATGCCACACTGTGGGCTGGAGGCCATGCCCTAGCCTCCAGGGTTCCCAGGTGGGTCTGGAGCTCAGATCCAGTAGCCTCGGCCAGAGTTACACACACAGGAACCCAGAGGACGCTCTGGCTCACTCAGCCAGAAGTGACGGGATCGGGGAAGGTGGGGGCAGCTTCACAGAGGAGTGGGCAAACAGGGCCTTGATGCATGAGGGGGGCTTGGCCAGGCCAGGAAGGGCTGAGCAGGGTATTCCCAGCTAAGGGGCAGCATATAGAGTGAAAGCCGTACAGCAGGAAGGTGTATTCTACACTGCATCTCTCCAGCCCACTGCAGGTTATATGTGATGCTTTCGTACCCAGAGCTCCTCTGGGCCTCAGAGTAGTAACCCTGCGTTCTCCACCCCCACAATGTCCCTGCTGCCTGTCAGCCTCCCATGGCTCTGCTGGCATGCAAGGTGTTTGAGAACTGGGTTGTGATATCCAGAGAGCAGAAAGCTGATGATCACATGAACTTTATTGTTGTTGTCGCTGCTATTGTTGTTATTATTATTGTGGTACTAGGATTCCCAGCCCTTTTTATCTTTTATTTCTTGCTAAGTTACCCAGGCCGGGCTTGAACTTGTGAGCCTCCTGAGTGCTGGGACTGCAGCTTGCGCCACCACACACAGCTATTATCATTTCTCGTGGTGCCAGGAAAGGCCTCACACTTTCTACTCTATCAGCTGAGTACACCTGAGCTGCACCCTCAAGCTATTCCCATTAACTTTAACAGACAGCAACAGCACCAAAGTGCAGGCCTAGAAGTGGAAAACCCGTATCCTGTCTGGCCTTGTGAGGCATACCCACAGGACACCAGGAAAAGCAGCCTGGGATGGAAACTCTGAGTAGGATCTCTGGGGTCCCAGATACACAAAAACCTGAAGAGGCGGCAGGTTAGAGCTACAGTGCCCTGGGGACCAAAAAGGGTGTGCAGCAGCTCCTTAAGGCAGACAGGGTAGGACAGCAGAGCAGAGCACAACACACAACACAACGAAAGGTGAAGTAATAGCCTGGCATGGTAATGCATGCCAGGAATCGCAGCTCTCTGGCTGGCTGAGGCAGGCAAATTGCAAGTTCAAGTCCAGTCTGGACAGTTTAGCAACCTAGTGAGATCTTGTCTGAAAAAATGAAAATACTTGGACTGAGGATGTAGCTCAGTGTGAAAGCCCTTGGTTCAATCACCAGGACAAATTTTTTTTTGTTTGTTTTTTGAGACAGGGTCTCACTATGTAGTTGAGACTGACCTGGAACTCACTATGTAGCCCAGGCTGGTCTCGAACTCACAGCGATCCTCCTGCCTCAGCCTCCTGAGTGCTGGGATTATAGGCATGTACCACCATGCCCGGCCAAATTTTTTTTTTTTAAAGGTGAATAACTTTGAGGATCCTGAGTTGATCTGGCTCCTAACAGGTATTCAGTCCATGGCAGTAATTGTTACTACATTGTCACCACCTCTAGAAGGCACTCCTGTGGACGGTAGTGCTTGGGGGAAGTGGCAGCACCCTGAGATGTCCAGGTTCAGTCAAGGTCCTCACCTGTCAATGACCAGCTCCAGCAGCACAGCGTGGGACAGCTGTGTGAACTCAGGGTCACCAGGCACATGGTCATAGTGCTCCAGCAGGGCCACCATGTCGAGGTCACAGGCTACCTGGTCAGGGAACTTCCAGGAGGGAAAGCGCACAGGCCCAGCTCGAGAGAACACATCCACGATGGCGCCTTGCAGGTCGGTGAGGTCCTTGCGCAGGCTGTCCATGCAGGCTTGGCTGCCCAGCAGGTGTGCCATTCCCACAACTCCTGAGGCAGGCACAGAGGAGCTCGGTTAGCCAGAGAGATGTGACTGCTGCTCGAGGAATCTTCCAGAAACCTAATCTACCAGGGTGCTCCTTAGCAGGAAGTCTGCCCTGACCTGGGAGAGGTCTGTTAATTATCTGCCTGACAGTCTCTTTCCCTGGGAGCTCATGAACTGTCACTTTTGAGTTCACTGTGACATAACCTGGCAACCTGGGCTGAGGACCAGCCTGTCCCCACAAGTGCTGGGAAGCTCAGAGACACCCAGGCCTGGTCCCTGAGAGCTGAAATGGACCCTCAGTCTCCCAGAACAATGGTGTCTGGCCTCACCTCTCATGGGTGCCTGCCTGTGGAGCTGCAGCCATCGACTGTGTCTGGCTCTTGGACTAGGCTGTGGCCTCCAGAGCTCATCCAGGTGCCTGGCTTCCTGTCCCCAGTGCAGGTCTGACCTCAAGCAGCCCTCTAGTCCCTGGAACGGATGAAGTGACAGTGAGTGACCACACAGGCAGGGATTCCTTGCTGACGGAGTGGAGGCTGCCTTGGAAGAAAGGGAGGGTATTTCAGGCTGGAGGAATGGAGTAAGTTATATTCCCAGCTTATTTTTATTTTTCATTGTGAACAGGGTCTCACTAAGTCATTAAATTGCCCTAGCTGAGCTTGAACTTGCAATTTTTCTGCCTCAGCCTTCCAGAGTGCTGGGATTACAAGTGTGTACCACCACACCTGGCCTCAACCCTTTTAATTATTTTTTTTGTTGTTTTTTGAGACAGGGTCTTATTATGTAGTTGAGACTGACCTGGAACTCACTATGAAGCCAGGCTGGTCTTGAACTCACAGGTATCCTCCTGCCCCAGCCTCCCAAGTGCTGGGATTACAGGCATGCGCCACCATGCCCAGCATTTTTTTTTTTAAAAGATACAGTCTTGTTAAGTTGCCCAGACTGGCCTCAGATTTGAAAGCCTTTTGTCTCAGCCTCCCAAGTAGCTAGAATTATAGGTGTATACCACTGAGCCCAGTTACTGTTTCTTTTTTTAAAGTCACAAAGTCCAGTGTTTATTTGACCTTTACAGCAATTTGCACCGGACAATATTTCAAATGCTTGAAAGCCACACGGGCTGGTATAGCAGTCAGAAGTGTGTGTTCCTTCAACAAACAGGGATCTAGTATCCACTACCTTCCGGGTGATGTAACAAGACCAGGGAGCTGGGCATGGTAGTACATGCCTATAATCCCAGCACCTAGGAGGCTGAGGCAGGAAGATCACCAAGAATTTGAGGCCAGCCAGGGCTGCATAGTGAGACTCTCAAAAAACCAAGATGCCAAAAATACTAGGGAAGAAGCAGGGCATACAGAACCCTGTCCTCTGTGAACTATCAGCTATGTCTGAGAGTCTTTACAAAGGGTAAACTTGGATGTGTCCGCTTCAACCACCACAAAAGCAATGTTTTGGCATTTGTGTATATACACAGACACACTTGCTTGCACCTTACATGTTGTTTTGGCAACTGCCCCTTGTGAGATACTACTGCCCATGAGATTTTGTGTCCCCAAGGAGTGAAGTGGAAACAGAGGAAAAAAAGCAGACCAAAACATTTGAGTTTCCTCCTGGACTCATAAACTGGCTTGTGAAGGCTTATGAAGGCTTCAAGAAATATCGATCTGGGGCCAGGGATTTAGCTTAGTGGTTCCACTGCCTGCCTCAAAGTGCAAGGACCTGAGTTCGATCCCGGTACCAAAAAAGAAACATCGGAAACATCGATCTGTTCACCACAAATCAGGTACTAGCAGCCCGGCATGGTAATTCATGCCTGTAATCTCAGCAGTATGGGAGGCTGAGGCAGGAGGATTGCAAGTTCAAGCCTAGCCTGAGCAACTTACCAGGTCCCTGTCTCAAAAATTAAAAGGGCTGGGAATGTAACTCAGTGTGAAGACCCTAGGTTCAATTCCCCAGTACCACAAAAAGCAAATACACTACAGTAGCCACATGGAGCCACCTCACATACCAACTGACTTCCATTTTGGTTCAGACAGTAGCAGCAAATGCTAGAGCATCAAGAATATCAAAGATTACCTGTAATCTCAGCAACTTGGGAGGCTGATGCAGGAAGATCACAAATTCAAGCCTCTTCTGGGCAACTTAGCAACTTAGTGAGAACCTGTCTCAAAAAGAGATTTGGAGGGCTGGATACTTTGCTCATTGGCACCATACCTGCGTAGCAAGCACAAGGTCCTAAGTTTGATTCCCGGTACAAAAAAAAAAAGAGATTGGGATGTAGCTCAGTATGAAGGTCTTGGGTTCAATCCCCAGTACAAAAAAGAAAGTCAGTCCAAGATTAACTTTTGTGGTTTTTCCTGAAAATTGAGGGTATGAAGATGCAGAAGTTTGAGAAGCACTCAGGCATATAGCAAGGGAAGGAACAGTTAATATTCGCTGTAATTTTGGGGCCTTGAGTAGCACCCTCAGCCCTGACCTATACTCGTGACCACACATGAGGGCAGTAATTTAGCTAACAAGGCCCTTAGTAGGGCAGCAGCTCACTCTACTTCCCTTCAGTTCCCTAGGCTTCAGGGTGAAATTTTGACTTGCAGAGAAGAGCAGGAGCCTTTTCTCCCCTCCTATTCAACATTCAAGCCCCTTCTTTCTTCTTTTTTTTGGCACCAGGGATTGAACTCAGGCCCTTACGTTTGCGAAGCACGCAGCAGCACCACTGCGCTAAATCCCCGGCCCTAAAATCCCTTTTTTCTCTCAGACCTAGCACCCTACCCCACTGGTAAAGATTATACCTACTGCCTCCAGCAAACAGCCAGTCTTTATTTATAAAAGCAGCCAGCTGGTGATAGTGAACCTTTATGTCAGCGTAGTATGGGGGAAGATGGCAGCGAATGCATACTCTGCACAGTCACCAGTGATAACCTAAACCAACAGGACACGCTGACCTGGATCAATGAGTCTCTGTAGTGGAATACAACAAAGATTGAAGAGAGCTGCCTACCATCAGTTTGTGGACATGCTCTTCCCTGGTTCAACTGCCTTAAAGAAAGCTAAGCTGAATATATCTAGAACTTCAAAATACTATAGGAAGATGGGTGTTGACAAAATAATTCTCATGGATAAATTGGTAAAAGTTTCAGGGCAATTTTAATTTGTCCAGTGGTGTCTTTATTTTTGTTTTTTGAGAAAGGGTCTTGTTATGTAGCTCAGGCTGGCCTCGCACTAACTATGTCAGTCCTCCTGCTTCAGCCTCTCAAGTGCTGGGATTACAGGCGTGAGCCACTATGCCCAACTTTTTTCCTTTTTAATTAATTTATTTATTTTAGTGGTATTAGGAATTGAACCCAAGGACTTCACACTGAGTTACATCCCTAGCCCATTTCATTTATTTAGAATTTTTAGACAGTCTCACTAAATTGCCCAGGCTGGTCTCAAACTTGTGGTTCTCCTGCCTTAGTCACTCAAGGTACTGAGATTACAGTCTGCACCACCACACACCTGGCTAGCCTTTTTTATACTTTTTATTAAAACACATGTGTGTCAGGCCAGGGATTTAGCTCAGTGTTGCCTCTGCCTGCCTTGAAAGCACAAGGTCCCCAGTACCAAAAACAAAACAAAACAAAACAAAATGTGGGTCCAAACTGTGGCTGGACACATCCGCTAAAGCCACCTACTTCGCAGTTGTTAGTCTCTGAACTGAGATTGCTAATTGCACGAATCTCTGGGGACTCTGAAGGGACTGCAGACAAAGGTAACCATCTGCACTAGTTAAAAAGACGCGCCTCAGTTCAGATCCCCACCCTACCAACTCTGAACTTCATTCACATTTCTCTGTAAATAGCTTGCTGTAAGGAATCATGTATGATATAGTGTTCCACACACGGTCTAACTCTCAGTAAATGTTCAACATATCCTAGCTATCTTTTCTCGCAGCTCACTTCCCAGAGGCACATCTCCTGCAGTCCCTCCCGCTTCTCCCTCTGCTGAGATCCTGTTCCTCCTGTCCAGTTTCCTCTTCCCCTCAGCTCTGGAATGAAAGAAATGGGAGCCCCTGCCTGGACTTTGGTTTCCTTGCCTGTGAAATGGGGCAGTTTAGAGTTTCTTCCTGAAGAACCCCCACCTCCTTCCGTCCACACTGGAGCCGGATTATGCCATCGTTGCTGTTATTAAAGTAAGATAATGGGAGCTAGAGCCATGGCGGATGTTTATAGGCGCCGCTACTCAAGAAAGAAGCTGGAGGATTGCCTGAGCTTAGCTCTTCCGTCCCTCAAATGAGGGGCATGGTCTGCAGATAGCACCTGTTCGAGTCAAGACTGGGGCCTCAGGAAGCAGCCCAGTTTGAGAAGGGGCGGAACCTAGAAAAAGCAGATCCACAGAAAAGAGACGTGGGAATTAAGGGCGTGAAGTTTGAAAGGTGGAACTTTGGGGAAGGGGCTCTCCAAAGTGAGAGGCCAAGGGAGGGAACCTCAGGAGTCCGGGTGAGAGGGAGCGGGAACTGGCCTGTGGAGAAAAGCGGAGTGCTGCGCCGTCCGACGCGAGGTGCAGAACATCTCACCTGCCTCTGGAGTCGCCGCCCCGGGTTCAGCGTCTTGCGGGCTCAAGGAACTGGCCGCGATGCGCGAGCTTTTCCAGGTAACCTCTGAAACCTGCAGCCAGGATCCTTGACTGCTGCCATGACAACGGCGTCGCGCGCGGGGGCCTGGCCCAGGAGGGGGGGCGGAAATGCGCCACGAGGAGAGAGCGGAACCGGAAGTCGTCGGTCTTGCCTCAGCTTCAAGGTCTCTCTCGGTAGCCGCCATCTTGAGAGCTCGTCGTACCTTTGGTGGGGTGTCTCTTCACGCAGCAGCGGTCGTCTACACTGAGGCGGGCTGGCAGCCCTGAGCGTCGCAGTCATGCCGGCCGGACCCGTGCAGGCGGTGCCTCCGCCGCCGCCGGTAGTCACCGAGCCCAAACAGGTACAGCGTCCCCCGCACCTCGACCGGCAGCCTTTGTTTAGGCCTGGGCCCTCCTCTCCATCGCGGGCGCTCTGTCCTTCGGTAATGTGCCGCTGCTCTGGAGAGCTGGGAAGAACTACAAGTCCCAGGAGGCAGCGCGTGTCCTATGGTAGCCAGGCGAGCCAGCTGAACGGTGGTGTTAAGGAGTCCGAGGTCGAGCAGTTCAGGGTATCACCCTGGAAAGTTATTAGAAATGTAGAGTCCACTCTAGATCTAAGTAGGAATTTGCACTCTAACACGAACCCAAAGTGATTCGTTAAAATGTGAGAAGCATTGATCCAGGCTCTTGGGCCCACCGCCCCAGTCTTGGCCCGACAGTCCCAGCCAGCATCTGCCTGGTGTTTACCCTGACCCAGACATCATTCCAGGGTCCGTCTTATCAAAATGAATGAGGCACAATCCCCCACCATAGGAGAGCTCCCAGTTTAAAAAGAAGAGAGGCAAGTGGGAGTACTCATAAATATGTGTATTGTCTAGACCATATTAAAGATACAGTGCTATTCATATCTTTAAAAACTCTCAATCAGTTAAAGGGAAAATATGCATAAATAATTGCAGTACAGCGTGGTATGAGCCATAAAAGTCTCAGTAAGGAGATGGTAACCTAATGATGAAGGTAAGAGAAGCCCACAGCACTGATAGTTAAGTTGCTTTTAGAAGGATGAATAGTTCTTCAGAAGAATGATTGGGGAAGGGAAATATGGCACTGTTTATTCACTTAACATTTACTGAGCACATACTGTATGCTGGTCACTGTTTTGAATTCAGAATACCGTAAAGAATATGACAGTGGAGCAAGGAACATGATAGAAGAGGCATAAGCTCTTTCCACAGATGTTCAAGTGTCTGTTTGTGCCTGGCATTTTCCTAGTCACCAGGGGAAAATAAACAATATTAGATAATCGGTACAGAAACGATATTATGCTCTCTCTGGTGATGAGTAAATAAGCAAGTGTAGTTGCAGTGCAGGATTGGGAGAGTGGTAGCAGATGAAATTATAAAATTTGAACTTACAGACAGTGGGAGGAGGAATGGAAGCTTTTCTAGTTAGTGGCATTTGCATTTGAGAAATTAAGTAGGCAGGAAGTGAGGTGGGGAGTCGCTAGGATGGAAGACCAGTCACTATTCAGAAGATGCAGAGAGCCGGGTCTGGACTGGGCAAAGGGGGTGGGCAAGTGCTTTTGGCAAAATGGTCAGTGCCGTTGGGTCTTCAGCCAGATGTGTTGGAATGCTGATTCTGTCACTTAATTATTCTATAATTTGGGGATAGTTGGGGAGTCTGCCTCATAGACTTTCTTAAAGGTTGTAAGAGTTAATAAATTTAGAGAAGTGCTTAGAAAAGTGTCTGAGCTGGACTCGGTGGTGCACTCCTGTAATCCCAGCACTCCGGATGCTGAGGCACAATGGCCATAAGTTTGAGGGCAGCATGATCCACATAGTGAATTCAAGGCCAACCTGAACTACATAGACAGGCCCTGTCTCAAAAGCAAAACAAAACAAAACAGAAAAGTATCTGGGCTTACTTTGTGTTTAGTAAATATCGTTATCATTGAATGAGAAAGGCCCACTTCCCCTATGTGAGTGGGAAGCCATTCATGAGGTTAGAGATGGAAGTGCTCAGGAATCCCCTGGATCTAAAGTTCAGGAATCAATGTCTGGGACATTGATTTGGGCTGGATCGTTCAGCCTGGAGATGGTAAGGGAATTGGAGGGCATGGCTGTGAGTGCCTGTGGATACTGTGAACAGATTTTTGGAGTTCTCCAACATTATAGGGCAGGAGGTAAATAGGAAGAAGGAATGGTGCGCGAGAAGGAAAGACAGGTGACACTGAGGCTTAGGAGTTGAGTGGACAGTTTTGTGAGGGATTGGTCACCTCAGGCTGAGATGACAGCTGTTGGTTGACTAGGCAATCATTATTGAATTTAGCAAGAGCACTTAAGATGAGTGGGGACCACATGAAGGTGAGGAAGTGGGAATTCAGGGTGTTCAGCTACCAGAGAAAAGGAAAGGAGAAGGCAGTGGCACAACACAACATTAAGGCAGGGGAGGAGTTTGTTTTTCTGACACACTTGATCCTTTGGTAAGGGAAGAAGCTGGGTTAAGAATAGGGGAACGTACTGGGCATGGTGGCACATGCCTATAATTCCAGCTAGTTGGAAGGCTGAGATGGGAGAATCTCAGATTTCAGGTGAGCCTGGGAAACTTAGTAAGATCCTATTTCAAAACAGATTTTTGTTTGTTTGTTTGTTTGTTTAAGACAAGGGATGTAGCTCAGTGGTAGAGTGCATGGGACCTTGGGTTCAAATTGCTAGCACCTAGCCCTGGAAGAGTATGGAATGTTATGAGACAGTTAATGTTGGATATTCCAGTGGAGTTTCACAAGACATTTGTGCCCTGAATAGTGGTTAAGACTGGAGTGGACAAAGGGAAAGGACATTCTAGGTAAAAGGAGCTGCCAGCAAGGAATTTCCAGTTTTTTTAACCCAGAGCTTTTGCACGTGCTAAGCACATACCTGCCATTCAGCCCCACCTCATCCTTCTCATTTCTGTATTCAGCAAACAATCATGAAATATTCTGGGGTAGGCACAGCGTTACAAACATTGACTTCTAGATTCTGGAATGTGATTTTTCAGAATGTAGCTAGAGCCCCTATATCTGAATCACCTTTGTACTTGGTAAAAATGCAGATTTCTACTCCCACTGAGACAGTCTGGCATAGGCAAGAGGTAGTCAGGTTGCCTTTTTCCGTATTTCCTAGGAGCATCCTGTGTGAGTGCTATGTAGTTAAGAGAATGATCTTTCTGAAGTTGAGGGCTCTAACCGGAGGAAGTTTGTGGGACAAGGGCTATTCTCAGCAATATCCTGGAGGAGTTGCATGGAGATCTCGCTCCAAACCAAGGACTTCATGACCTTACTTCCTTTTCTTGTTTTCACAGCCAACTGAAGAAGAAGCATCTTCAAAGGAGGATTCTACCCCCTCTAAGCCAGTGGTGGGGATTATTTATCCTCCCCCAGAGGTCAGGAACATCGTAGACAAGACTGCCAGCTTTGTGGCCAGGTAACATAGTAACTTTCTCATGGTAGGTCAAAGGTAGATTATAGCATGAAGAGCTCATTTCATCCAAAACCGCAGCATTACAGTGAAGTAGACAACAGACAGGATTGGCATCCCCCAAACAGCACATCAGTGGCCAAAGTGAGAGTGTCATCCAGTCCCACGGACACCCCGAGCCTCTGCCTCCAGATCAGGTCTGAGGAAATTCCTGGACAATGGACAGTGTGTTTGTCTGTGTTTGAGCTGCTGGCCTAAGGAAGATAAAAGGAAGTTCATTTCCATCGGGCAAGGACCCCATTTCAAAGGACCCATCTGTGAGGTTGAGTAAAATGCTACCTTGTCATGAGGTTATCCTGAGGCAGGCATAAATGGGTAGAGTCACATCCCGGAAGTATCAGCTTTCTTCCTGGATGGGATAGCAGTTGGTCAGTGTTCCTCAAGCCCCTCCCTGTTGTCTTTATTCAGGCTCACACATCCTTAGATGGAATCTTCTTGAGGACTACTTGACTCCAAAGATGAACATATCTACTGGTTTAGGGCAGCCAGCAGGCCCTATCCAGTCTATAGGTTGTTGGTGGTGAACCTGTGGCACACATGCTGCAGTGGGTTGTTTGTATCACTGAAAGCTCTGAAAGGCTCGCCATCACTGTTACAGGTGTTTGTCCTCACAGTTTTGTTTTTTTTTTTGTGGCGGGGGGTCAGGGATCGAACTCTGGACCTTGTACTTGCAAGGCAGGTGGTGGAACCACTGAGCTAAATATCTGGCCCTCCTCACAATATATTTTAAAACTCAAAACTACTTGCCACTATTTACAAATGGGGAGACTTCACAATAAGTCTGGATTTCTGGCTTCTCTTGAGGAATAGACAGCTTCTTCGTACATGAAAGCAATACCTAGCCCTTAGCAGATTGCTGCCTTCAGCTGTCCAGTCGTCATGCCTTGACAGTCACACCCCTTGGGCAGCATCTCCAGCACCTTGCATCATTTAATAGGTGTTCCTTCCTTTCCCAACCTCCTAGTAAAATGAAACAGATTTTCTGTTTCACTGTGTCTGCTCTGTTAAGATTCATCTAATCACATTTGAAGGGCTTTGATTAACCTGGGTATTCAGTTAAAAGCTGCTTGTGCTTGATTGAATATTATTAGGGCATATCAGATTTAGGGCAGCAGGTACTGTGTTTAAGATAAACATAACCTTCATACCTTTTCCTTTTCCACTGGTATTTTAATTTGTTATTCTTATCTTTTTTTCCAGTACTAGGAAGCAAACTCAGGTCTTGGTGCTTGTGAGGCAGGCATGGCACCACTGAGTTAAATCCCCAACCCTCACTGATATTTTTAAAACTTACAGGAAAAGGATGTTGTGTGAAGAATCATTACAGTCTGTCAGATTAGTTTCTATCAGCTGTTTTTACTTTTTCCTGTTTTCTCCTGGACCTTGGCATCCTCTTTTGGACCCTTGCAATGCTGTCAGAGATACTTTCATATCTTGCTTTTGTTTTCTGCACTATAGTGTAAGCACTTCTCATTGTTCATGGTCTTCCTCATGCTGTGCATTCTTTTGAGTTGTAGTCTGCCCAGGTGATGACTTAGCTGTCTTCTCTGTATTTTCCTTTATGATTGCTCCCAATGTCGTTTCCATTTGGTAAGTGAAACTGAAGGGGACTCTTAAGTGTTTTTCAAGTAGCTTTCCGATAGTTTTGTGCCATCCCCTGCTGCCAGAGACTAAAAATTTATCTGCCTAACTTAAAAAATTATACACACAACTAGATAGATTTGTGTGTGTGTGTGAGTGTGATTGCTTTTGTAGAGTTTTAAAACTTTGCGAAAACTTGTATGCTTAGGCTGGGGTTTAACTCAGTGGTGCCGCTGCCTGCCTCGCAAGCACAAGGACTGGAGTTCTATCCCTGGTACCAAAAAAAAAGTCTTTACTATTAAAAAAACAAAAACGTGTAAGCTTGCTTTCCTCTATGTTGTGAAGGGACAGGCGAGCATTTCACTGTGAGTCAAAGCCTGGTTCTGGTGGGACACACGTGTTCTGCAATAGACAGTAGACATCTACAACTGGGTGTGGCTTTTCCAAAAGGAGCTTTTTCTCTCTGTTGGGTCCTTCCTTCTCTGCTTTTTCCTGTCAAAAAGCTGAAGTGGAAATTACCCTTAAAAAGTTCCACCAGCTGGGTTGAGTCAGAGAATCACATCTTTTTCTACTGAAATCTATTCCTTATGTTAGAGAAATTCTAAAATTAACACTAAGCTAACTTCAAGCAACAGAAAAACTTGGAACAAACATGCCTGCCTTCTCATCGTGTATTTTTCTGATTGTTCCCAGATGTGGCGAGGCTATGGCTTGGGAGACAACCAGAACCCCATTTTGTAGCAACCCTCAGTTTGCTGGTCATGGTGACCTAGTTTAGCAGAAGTCAAGGGTGCATTCACCACTCTCATGTGGTTTGCATTATGTAAGGAGGTGAAAAAATGCTTCTGAAAACATGAGGTTCTAGCCAGGCATGGTGGTACACACTTGTAATCCCAGCATTCAGGCAGGAAGATTTCTGTGAGTTTAAGGCCAGCCTGGACTACATAATGAATTTGAGGTGATCCTGAACTACATAGTGAGATCCTGTCTCGAGAAAAAACCAAATAAAAGAAGCCCCTAGGTTCCACGAGGACTGGTGCATTGTCAAATTGAGACACGGTGTTAGTCACACCACAGGCGGGGCGAGCCTGGATGTTGGTGACCATTAATTAGCGTGGCACACGTGGTGGCTACTCTGGGGCACAGAGTTGCCTGCATCCTGTCTTCTAACCTCTTTCACTGACAGTGTCGGGTTATGAAAATCTGAGGGAAGTGGAGTGATTTGGCTGGCACCAGCTCCTGGAGCCGTGCCTTGGTGTATTCTGGACACCTCTGTGTGTAGGGTTCTAGCCAGAGGAGCGATAGAAGACCCACAGACATCTCCTAATACCCAAATCATTTTGAGTGTTTGTGGAACTGCCTTTTCATAGGTGCAACAGCCCCATACATTTGCGGGCCACTGTTTGATTGAAAAAGACTTTGGAGTTGGACAAGTTTGTTTTTTTTTTTTTTTTTTTTTTTTTTT